GAATTTCCGAACACGTGAAAACTCTAAGTGATACTTTGTATTAAGATTGTGAGTAGTACAATAAGAATCATAATGGAAACCCTAATATACAAGGGTTAGATGAGTTGACCGGTTTGACTTGTTGACTTTGGTTGACTTTGACTTGACCAAAAATTGACGGTTGTCACAATATATATATATATATATATATATATATATATATATATATATATTGGTGTCAATATACAATAGTTTGAACACATATGTAAAACTTTTACTTTATCAGATGCATGGTTGTTGTACTTCGATTACTATTATGCAATTGTTGTGATACTATACATGAAGTCATCCGCCCCCGGACATTTCTGCCATTCTGGTTTGGGGGTTGACAATCCGAAGGTTCACGGTCCGAGTTCACGGCTGCGAGGTTTACGGCTCGGATGGTTCACGGCTGCGAGGTTCACGGCTCGGATGGTTCACGGCTGCGAGGGTTCTCAATTCCTTATGCTTTTCTCTTCCAAACTATAACACACTTAGTTATAAGGCTTCAAAACTTATAAACCAATAATCCATCTAATTTAAGATCATGTAAGGAATAAGTTTGACCAAAGTTGGCTTTTATAAGAATGAAATTTTCGGGTTGTCACAGAAGTGTTGTCCGAATCACTCCTTATCAGGTTAGTGCATAGTTACTTTCATCTTACACATAGATATGAAGTATTTTTATATAAATTACGTGCTATGTGTGTATATTTACTTGAGATATGTGCTAGATGAAAGATTTAAACTTCTTTGTTTTTCAGATCTAAGCTGTATATGTATTTTATACTTTAAGATCTATGTTGGATGAAAGATCTGACTTCTTTCTTTACAAATCAGAACCTTTTTCTTTAGATCTAGGCTGTAGATGTATTTTGTTTTCAGATCTGAACCTCTTTCTTCAGATCTAGGTTGTAGATGTACTTTGTTTACATATCTGAACCTTTTTCTTCAGATCTAGGCTGTAGATGTACTTTGTTTTCAGATTTGAACCTCTTTCTTCAGATCTAGGCTGTAGATGTACTTTGTTTATAGATCTGAACCTTTTTCTTCAGATCTAGGATGTAGATGTACTTTGTTTTTAGATCTAAACCTTTTTCTTCAGATCTAGGCTGCAGATGTACTTTGTTTTCAGATCTGAACCTTTTTCTTCAGATCTAGGTTGTAGATGTATTTTGTTTTCAAATATGAACCTCTTTCTTCAGATCTAGGCTGTAGATGTACTTTGTTTACAGATCTGAACATTTTTCTTCAAATCTGGACAATAGATGTATTTTGTTTTTAGATCTGAACTTTTTTCTTTAAATCTAAAGCTATAAATGTATTTTATATCTACAAAAATGTTGGGTAGAACATGGGTAGATAAATGATGAGGTATGAAAGATGATATAGATGAATATTGGTAGTTGCACCACAACCTGTAGATGATTTTGAAACGTGATGTACTCTAAACATCCTAGCAGATGCGCCTATAGGTTAATATCGGCAGCTGTGCCCAATAGAAAACGTCATAATCCCGGCAGCTGCGCCTAGATGATAACATTGGCAGCCGCGCCTAAATGATAGCATTGACAGCCGCACCTAAAAGATAACATTGGCAGCTGCGCCTAATAGATGATATTGGCAGCTGCACCTAGTTGAGAACAACACAATCCTGACAGCTGCGCCTAAAGGATAATATTGGTAGTCGTGCCTAATAAGATGACATTAGCAGTAATGGACTGCACGCGTATTCCCTAGGATAAACCTTAGGAATGAATGAATGAATGATAACTGAATCTTAGGGTAGATCCTTAAGAATAAAGAAGATAATAGGGATGGGTAATCGGGTTGATTGTTTGATGATTAAACATAATAATTATATTATTGTGGGTTGAAAACCCTATGTACTCACCAGGTTTCCCAACCTGACCCACTCAGTTTATTTGTATCACAGGTGTTGATATGAAGCTGCACTACACTGAAAGATTAAAGAGATGTAGATCACTAGTGTAAATGAATGTAAGTTCTCTTTATGCTTATGTTCCTGTATTGACGTTGACATCCCAAAGTTTTAAAATGGATAAAATACATTTATTCGGAAATGCTTTGATAACATATTTATCATGTTTTTCTGGGAACAAAAAATTCCGCAACACTTTTCTTTAAAAGTATACTCTGATTTTGAAAATAAAGCATAAACAAATTGGTCTTTTCTGGCCGTGAAAATAGGGATGTCATAAACTTCCCCTAGCGCAGATACCACGTAAAGTTACAAACTTTACGTGCATGCAAGGCCTTCCAAGGCTATAACATCAAAACTAAGCTTCCTACAAGGTTTTAGTGCATGGAAAGGGCCTAAGCTAGATAAAGTGAGCAACTTTATGTCCTTGGGGACCTAGAGAGGTCCAGATCTGGAACCATATCCTTGTGATAAGTCCAGATCTGAGTATGACCCCATTTTGCACCAAAAGTGACCATATCCTTCCATGAAATGAGATCTAAGAAAATAGAGATCAAGGTGGTAACTTTTTACCTCTAATTGGATGTTCACAACCAGTAGATGCCGGATCCCAAAGCCTTCTCCTCTCTTCAATCTCATCAACCTTCAATTTTCCTTCTCAAAAGCATACGTTTTACTCTTTAAGACTCACACACACTCAAGGAAGCTCAAAAATGCGGCTAGGGTTTCTTTCTGGGCTGTAAGGACGTTGAGAGAGGCTACAAACTTGGCGTTACAAAGTACCTATAATGTTTATGATATATTATGATAGTTCACTAGGTGTGAGACCCGTGTACTACACAAGTTTATAAAAAATAAAAAGTTTAATATCTATATGTAAACATTAAACATTTTATAAAGTAATTGAAAAAAGAAAGTAAATCAATGAGTTTGTAACATTTATGTGAATTTATTCTCAAATTAATAAAATGATAACCTTACATGAATAAAATGAGAACCCTCCATATATATAACCGTAAATTCTTGAAATTTAATGTAAAAATGAAAAACCTCAAAAAATGACAAGTGGAAAATAAGAAAATAAAAAAACCATGTGGCAAAATGAAAGAGAAGAAGACATGTGACAAAAAAACCTTCATTTATTAGAGAGGATGAACTTAATTTTATGAAATATATAAATGTGTGTTGGTGATTGAATGTGGCCACATCTATATATTTGCAAATGGATTGTAAAGGGCAAAATAAAAAAAATAATTATAATTTGAAGTTTTACAAGGACATAAGCATAATACTAACTAGGATGTCATTGGTTCAATCCCATGTAGACAAGATATATAGTTATTTGTCGTTCAAAAAAAAAAAAAACTAATTCTATTTTTTCTGTTCCTACTTTTAGTTGTGTGCTTTCCTCCTATTAGGGTTTGTTCAAAACAAATCATGAAATGAATGAATGCTTAATTATAATGGAAATGATTTGTAGACTATTTATTTCTCATATACAACAATTTATGTTTTATAGAGTTGTACAATAACATTTTTAAACCCATATTATTGTGTATAAATAAAAATTGTTATATATAAATATGATCCTTAATTATAACGTTGAATTGAGTGTTTCTTGTTCTCAGGGCCGCCCCAAGCCCAGGGCTAGCTGGGCTACGACCCCAGGGCAGCAGAAGTTATGGGGCATCAATTTTATGGAAGATGTTATGGGTATCTTCAATTTGGGCCAACGAAATGATCCATAAGTCCGACAGCAAAGTCCAGTCCATTGAAAAAGGTAGGCGTCGACCTAAATTTGAAACCGGGAAGCCGTCAAACCGCTCGACAAATTAAATCGTACACCTACTTGAAGAAGACGAATGGATTTGGAGAAGACAAGGAGACGAGTATCAGGATACTAAACGACACATAAAACTTATTAGATGCTGAATATAAAGTGCCCCAAGAAGTTATTCTCTTTAAAATTTTGTGTTTTAGGTAATAGAGAGTGATCTGGACGATTTTGCCCAAGGTGGGTTTGGTGGTAAAGTTTATGTTGAGCTACCGTAGTTTTTTATCTAGATGATCTGAAGGGTAGCAAAGAGTGTATCTATGTTGTTAAAATTTGAGATTTTTTTAATATATTTTTGATCAAGATGCTTTTTAACTTTTATTTGACATGCAGAAATCCTTACCCCTTGCTTATGTTGGATCTATTCTATTGGTGTATTAGTTTTAGGGTATTTTGTTAGAATAGGTTTTGCTTAAATTTGAAAATAATGAATTATATTTAGTTATTGTAATTTTGTTGGGATCTTGATCTTAGAGCATACTAACAAATTTGTGAAATATTTACTGCAACTCATTAACTTTTAGGTCCACCACTTCCATCTTCTGAAGTGTGGAATCGCACCAGCTACTACATGGCCTCTCTCTCACACTTATGTATATGTGTATGAGTGTTGATAGATGATTATATTCACGAATTTGTTTAGAAAATAACTAGATTGCTTTTTTTGTTTAGGTTAAATTCAAAAATTACAATGAAAAAATATTTTATAAAATGATAGTAAAGAGGTTGTAGTTTTTTAAATACATATTAGCTTGCTTAGGTGTCAGGCTTCATACTTGTAAAATAATCAAATCTTTTAAATATTATATATGATCTTAGGAATTAGCTTAATATGCGTATTAAAATTTTTAAACATTTTATGATTTGGTTGTTTGCACAGAAAAGGCCTGGATTTTTTTAATGTTAGAAAATAGGATTCTAAGATCCTTATGTGTGTTTTGTCATTTGTGTATATGAGGGTTAAAATGGGCATTGTTATTAATGTCGCCCTGAGTACCATAGACCAATGGACCGGCCCTGCTTGTTATTTGCTGATGAGTTTTTCTTGGATCCATACGGAGTTCTTCAAGATGTTGTGTTCAAAGAATATTGTTGTTTTAGTGTACAGGTTTTTTAGGGCAAATTTGTAATTTACAACAAATGACCCAAAATCCTAGATTCCAATTCATGTGACCAATTCCAAATCCGTTCGAAACAATCCGTGAACAAAAAGACGTTGAAAACAAATTTTGGATATGCCCTGGAGGCTCAAAGAACAAAAGAATCCGAATGGTTTGCACTACTTTGCACGTCTTGGCTGATTGGAAATGCCCTTCCACGAAAAATCTACACCACTAGCAAATTATCCAAATCCCATATTCCAATTCAGCGAGCGAGTAGTGTCTTTTTCATTCATTGTCGTTAATACCAATACCGCCGTCGAATCCCCTGTATTGTATTGTATGTTTTATGAATCCCAGTCCTACCCGTCTTTTCTTTGCCTCAGTCTTCCATCTAATACTTTGGTTTGCATCGACTGTTTCACCCTTTGCTGTGGTATGTTGTATCTTGTGGGGGTGATTAAACGCAGTCGTGCAAGTTTATGTTACAGGTGCCGATTCAGTATTGCCAGTTTGGATTTTTGAAGAACATACATCGTCGTCCTCATTGAAATAATACGCAGACTTAGGTCAGATACTCGGATAGTTAGGAATCGATCGGACCATGTCAATACCCAAGGAGCCGGAGCAGGTGATGAAGCAAAGAGATGGATCTGTGCTTGGGAAAAAGACCATTCTTAAGAGCGACCATTTTCCTGGATGTCAGAACAAGCGACTGTCTCCCCAAATCGACGGCGCCCCAAATTTTCGCCAGGTGATCCTGTTCTTTCAATTTTATTGTTTCACCCTCTTTCTTATACTTCATAGATACACCCCTCTTTTCTTGTAGTGCTTAATTTCTCCAGAAATCATGCGGGGACTTATGTATTCCTCCTTTTTTTACATCATTTTTTCCTCGATTTGACCATTGAAAGTCCGGTTCATTTGCTTCATGAAATCATCAGGCCGAATCATTGCGTGTACATGGTGTTGCAATCCCAACTATTGATGGGATTAGGAACGTTCTTACATATATTGGGGCTCAAATTGATGGGAAGCAAGCAAATGTTCTTTGGATCAACCTACGCGAGGAACCAGTACGTTGTCTTATACCCTTTCTTTATTGCTTATAATTTCTTAGAATTGGCAAATGATTTTTTTTTTCATGCTTCCACTTGTTTATGGCAATAACTTTAGGATTCGATGTCCTGAATAACAGTGGTAAAACTCTTTCTTGGAACAGGTGGTTTATATCAATGGACGACCATTTGTTTTGCGCGAGGTTGAGAGACCCTTCTCCAATCTTGAATACACGGTGTGTGCTTATTTTTTCTGCTCAAATCACAACTTCCACTTCAGATTTACAATATTTTGTTATACTTTTTTTTTTCTGTTGATAAACATGCTAATTTATCCCATTCTATATCTAAACTTTGATGTTATTAATAGGGTATCAATAGGGCAAGGGTGGAGCAAATGGAAGACCGGTTGAAGGAAGACATATTACTAGAAGCTGCAAGGTTATTCTTTTTTACATGTTTCTGTGTATGATACGGATATCCATTTTTCTTATCATCTCAATACCTGTCTGGATAACAGATATGGAAATAAGATCCTAGTAACTGATGAACTACCAGATGGTCAAATGGTGGATCAATGGGAGCCAGTCACACCCGCCTCTGTCAAAACACCACTACAGGTTCACCATACTAATATATCTTTTTCTATGAAATTTAATGTTCATTTTGAAGATCTATTTCATAATTCCTTTCTCCATTGTAGGTCTATTTAGAACTACAAACAAGAAAATTCCTTGTTGACTACGAACGCATTCCAGTAACAGATGAAAAATCACCCAAGGAACAGGATTTTGATACGTTGGTGAGTGCTATTTTCATTTAACAAAATGAAAATATTTAACCTAGCTTATACTTTTATATATGATTTGTGTTTATGATCTTTATAGGTTGATAGAATTTCAAGAGCCGATCTCAAGACAGAAATAATCTTTAATTGCCAAATGGGGCGCGGACGTACCACCACAGGGATGGTCATTGCCACATTGATCTATTTCAACCGAATAGGAGCTTCTGGTACTTTTTTTTTTCTGTCAAGTTTATGTTATATGATTGCATGCTTTTACAATATCTTATTATTAGGTATCCCAAGAACAAATTCAATTGGAACAATTTCTGTCTGTGGCTCAAATGCTACTGACAACATGCTAAACACAGAAGAGGCTCTTCTTAGAGGGGAATACACCGTCATAAGAAGCTTAATCCGTGTCTTAGAGGTATGCAAATGAACCTTTTTGCTTACAAATTTCCCATTGCAACATTCTTGACTTGAGTAACTTCTTTTTGATTGACATGGTTTTAGGGCGGTGTTGAAGGCAAACGACAGGTGGACAAAGTAATTGACAAGTGTGCCTCCATGCAGAATTTACGTGAGGCGATTGCAACATATAGAAATAGTATTTTGAGGCAACCTGATGAGATGAAGAGGGAGGCGTTGCTTTCGTTTTTTGTTGAGTACCTTGAAAGATATTACTACCTTATATGCTTTGCTGTATATCTCCATACAGAAAGAGCAGTTCATATTCCTAAATCCCCTCACAATCACAATCTCAATTTCTATGATTGGATGAAAGCAAGACCTGAGCTCTATACCATTATTCGCAGGTACATAACAGTAACACACTTCCATGTTTGATTATATATATATATATATATATATATATATATATATATATATATATATATAAGTTTCATGTTCTAAAAAAGTTGTATCTTGCTATTGCAGGTTGTTGAGAAGGGACCCAATGGGTGCACTTGGTTATGCAAATATAAAACCATTAAACAAAATAAGCAAACCTAATAATGATGGCCACCCTTGTGAGATGGGAATAGTTGCAGTGTCAAGAACTGGCGAGGTCTTAGGAAGTCAAACTGTTTTAAAAAGTGATCATTGTCCAGGCTGTCAACAACCGAATTTGCCCGAGAGAGTAGAGGGCGCACCTAATTTTAGGGAAATTCCTGGGTTTCCAGTCTATGGTGTTGCAAATCCAACTGTGGAAGGAATTAAATCTGTTATGCAAAGAATAGGTAGCCCTAAAGGTGGCGGGGGCAGACCCGTCTTTTGGCACAACATGAGAGAAGAACCTGTTATTTACATTAATGGAAAACCCTTTGTGCTTCGTGAGGTTGAAAGACCCTACAAAAACATGCTCGAGTACACGGTATATATAATAATAATTCTCTCTCATTTTTAATGTTTATTATTTAAATATACTCAAGTCTGTAAGTGGTTTAATGTAGGGAATTGACTGTGAAAGAGTGGAGAGAATGGAAGCTCGATTGAAAGAAGATATTCTCAAAGAATCTGAACGTTATGGAGGTGATATTATGGTAATTCATGAAACTGAAGATGGAAAGATATTTGATGCATGGGAGCATGTAAGTTGTGATGTGGTTCAGACCCCACTGGAGGTATTCAGATCTTTAGAGGCAGATGGGTTTCCTGTAAAGTACGCTCGTGTACCCATTACGGATGGAAAAGCTCCAAAAAGTTCAGATTTCGACACACTGGCTCTCAATATCTCATCAGCATCAAAAGATACAGTCTTTGTATTCAACTGTCAAATGGGCAGAGGGAGGACAACTACCGGGACTGTAATCGCATGTCTGGTCAAACTCCGAATTGACCACGGACGACCCATCAGGATTCTACTCGATGACATGGCGTGTGGCGACTCGGACAACTGTACATCAAGTGGCGATGAAGGGAAACCGAGAGTGCATTCGAATCATTCTTTTGGTATAAATGACATCCTTCTGCTGTGGAAAATAACAAGGTTTTTTGATAATGGGGTGGAATGTCGAGAAGCTTTAGATGCGGTGATTGATAGATGTTCAGCATTGCAAAATATACGCCAGGCTGTACTGCAGTATAGAAAATTATTTAATCAACAGCATGTCGAGCCACGCGAAAGGCGGGTGGCATTGAACCGTGGGGCCGAGTATTTGGAACGTTATTTTCGGTTAATTGCTTTTGCAGCGTATCTTGGAAGTGAAGCATTTGATGAACAAGGGCAAGGGCAGGAATGTAAAATCACCTTTAAAAGTTGGTTGCATCAAAGACCGGAAGTCCAAGCTATGAAATGGTCAATAAGATTGAGACCCGGACGCTTCTTTAGTGTTCCTGTATATTTTCTCCAAATTTCATTTTCATAAAATATTTATTTATTTTTCTCACTCTCACCTGTATGTGTTTTGGTTTGTAGGAAGAGTTGAGAGCTCCACAAGAATCTCAACATGGTGATGCGGTAATGGAGGCGATTGTTAAAAAACGTAACGGCTCTGTTTTAGGGAAGGGGTCGATATTAAAAGATGTATTTTTTTCCTGGTCAAAGAACTTCTAGTCATATACAAATCCATGGTGCTCCACATGTTTTCAAGGTAAACTAAGTGGCTGTTTCATTTTCTTGAAAAATCTCTCTTTTGAGTGGCTGAATTGGTAATCATGTCTGTCTTGATTAATTGTTGATACATAAGGTTTGTTTCTTTTCTAGACTGAATAAACTGCCTTAGCGTGACTAAATGACCATTTTATCCTTATATTTAAATAAAATCACAATATTCATCATTTTTAAAATGAGAGTTGTTAGGAAAAAAAAAGGGTATATAGGTGAAGGGTTATTGTTAAAATGAGTAATGATGTTTGTGTGGATAAAGTACTGTATACAAAAGGTCTGTATATTTGTTGGACTGAATAAACTGTCTAAATGAGACTAAATGACCATTTTACCCTTACATTCCAAAAACAAAATTCACAAATATTAATAATTTTTTAACAATATTCATCAATTTTAACATGAGAGGAGCTGAGATGAAAGAAGACTAAGGACAAATAGGTAAAGGGTTAGTGTCTTAATACATTAAGCCAGGCTTTTTTAGCTTGACTCAGTAAGTCATTCTGTCCAGATTAAGTAAAAAAGAAACAATTATGTATAGCATTCCAGATTAACTGCTTAGCCTATTAGGCTCATCAAGTAAAAAGAAAGTCATATATAGCTGTACACAGTGCAGATTAAGTGCTTTAACTCTTTAAGTCAAAAAGAAAAGCCCTTAAAAATGTGTTGAACCAATAAAGAAATTGGAGAAGTTAAATGTAAATTTTTTGTTTTATTTTATTTTATTCAGGTGGATGGGTATCCTGTGTATTGCATGGCAACTCCAACAATTTCAGGTGCCAAAGAGATGCTAACTTATTTAGGTCCACAAAAAGTGATGTTAACTGACTTGCGTGAAGAAGCTGTTGTTTACATAAATGGGACACCTTTTGTTCTTAGGGAATTAAATAAACCTGTAGACACACTCAAGCATGTGGGTATCACTGGATCAGTGGTGGAACACATGGAGGCTCGGTTAAAGGAGGATATTATATCAGAAATTAAAAAATGTGGTGGCAGAATGCTTTTACACCGTGAAGAATATAACCCATCATTAAATCAGGCAAATGTAGTAGGATATTGGGAGAATATATTTGTGGAAAATGTTAAGACACCTACTGAAGTGTATTCTGGTTTGAGAGATGATGGATATGATATAGTTTACACAAGGATACCTTTGACTAGAGAGAGGGAAGCTTTAGCTTCTGATGTTGATGCTATTCAGTACTGTATGGACAAGTAAGTGTCTGTTTCTTAATCCACTTAATACAATACTTTAAGCCCTTGTATTGTAATACATGGGTATCTGACCCAGTATATGATATATATGGTTGTTGTGCAGTTGTGCAGGGTGCTACTTGTTTGTTTCTCACACGGGATTTGGGGGTGTTGCGTATGCCATGGCTATTATATGTTTAAGACTTCAATCTGAAGGGAAGTTAGCATCATTACCACTAACAAAAAGTGGTAATCAAGATTTATTATCTTCTAATGAAGCGCGTGAAAAGGGTGATTATCGCGATATACTTAGTCTTACTAGAGTTCTTGTTCATGGTCCTGAGAGTAAATCAGATGTCGATATTGTTATAGAGAGGTATGCTGCACTTTTTTGGATAAAGATGCCAAAAAAGCTAATGTAGTTGAGAAGTAATATTTTCTGTTGTTATAAAGGTGTGCTGGAGCTGGGCATCTTAGAGATGACATTCTGTTCTATAGTAAGGAACTTGAGAAGAATCAAGGGGATGATGATGATCATCAAGCATACATCATGGACATGGGTATCAAAGCATTGAGGTTGGTTGTAAATTTTTATATGAGAATGAATTTGCTTTCTTTGTAGTTTTTTAAAGCTTGCTTATGTTATAGACATCTAGGGTTTGTTTTTTCCCCATTAACTCATGTATGTGTGGGTAAATTGACTGAACGGGTAATGGTGTGTGTCTGGATAAAGTGTTGTATACATAAGTTGTGTTTCTTTTCTAGACTGAATAAACTGTCTTAATGACTGACTAAATAACCTTTTTATCCTACATTCCAAAATACAAATTTCACAATATTTATGAGTTTTAACAATATTCATCAATTATAACACGAGGGGAATTGGGATGAAAAAAAGGGACAAATAGGTAAAGTGTTAGTGTATTAATGCATTAAGTCAGGATTGTTGGCTCACCGTATTAAGTCATTCTGTCGAGATTAAGTAAAAAAGAAACAGCCATGACATCATGTATAGTTGTCCAGATTAAATGCTTAACCCATTAAGTAAAAAAGAAACAACTGCCTAGTTTCTTTCATGAGTCAGAACATATACTTAAATGGTAAGTATTTATGTTGTTGTGCAGGCGTTACTTTCTACTGATAATGTTTAGATCGTATCTGTATTGCACTGGCACTAGCACTCATGATAGAGAGATGGAATTCACGAGCTGGATGGCGGGGAGACCTGAACTTGGTCATCTTTGTAATAATCTCAGGATAGATAAATAATGTAAATGTAGATGTAGATGTAAATGTAAATGTATGTATGCACTACCATGTGCTATGTAGTTGTGCCTTGTGCCTTGCGTCTTGTTTCTTGTTTGTGTATATCTTCTAATCTCCTATCTCCTACTCCTACCATTCATTCTTTTTCTTCCACCCAAGTCAACTCATCTGCCCAAATATTAATGATGTTACCATTCATTGGGGATGGTATATGCTGATGATATTGTATCACTAGGTATCAACTCAAGTTGTGATGAGGTCAGGTAGTAGATTATAGATGGTTGGTTGGGTTTTCAATATTCTTTAGCTTTCATATTCTGTATTATAATTCCAATTAAAGCTTACAAAATTTTCATCATATGTAAGCAAGCCACTTTTAGAATGCAGATCTGCTTCTTTTATGCATGTTTCCAGCCAACAATATGTGAATCTGATCATCAACAACATGCTGCTATAGTGTATGCCACGAGCTTATGCTACATGTATCAGTTAATGTCCTTGTTAATTACAGGGTTAAATGGGGCTATGCAAAAAATGTGTTATGGGCTTAATTTAAGCAAAGCGAAATGCAGAAAAACACAAGCTGTTCTGAGTTTCTTATTAAAAAAAAGGAACTCCATTAAACTTGTAACAGGCAAAAGGCATACATGAGATTTTACCTTTTAATTTGTCCAAATTGCCAGTAACATTAATTTTACCGTTGGTAAATCCTATGTGGCTTAATTTTTTGAAGCAAAATACAGAAAAACACGAACGCAAGCTATTATTATTATCTCTGTTGATTTTCTTTAAATGATGTGGCGATTGAGGTTGATGTGGCTAATCGTCACTTTACCTTCAAGTAACCTTTTCATGTCTCATGCTGCCTGTCTGCATTTTACTGTCATAAGCATTTCATTATAATAGAAACTAGGTGAATGCTTGCGCTATGTTCATAATAAAATTATAAATTTAAAATAGAATACAATTATAAATTTAAAATATATGTTGTTTAAATATAAAAATGTCATAGTTAACTTTGATATAAATAAAAATTAAAAAAATTAAATAGAGTATATAAATTAATGTTAGACAAAATTGCAAAAATGGTCCCTGTGGTATGTATTTTTTTGGGGTTTTGGTCCAACCCACGAGTTTTTTGGTTTTGTGGTCCTTTTGGACCGGTTTGTTTGTGAGAATGGTCCCTATACTTAACACCCGTTAAAAAGAATCCGTTAACGCCCTCATGTGCCTTGCACGTGAGGGTATTTCTGTCTTTTTACTTATAGGGACCATTTTTGCATACGAATGTCAATGCTTCCTTCTACCTTTTATCCCTCATTTACAATCCCAAACACCCGTCAACTCCCCACCTCCCACCTTCTTCCTTCTGCTCCATTAAACCTGCAAAAAAACATCATTTGTTATCAAAAGAACCTAATCGAAGCAAAAGGAGACAAGGTCATACGTTAAAGTCGAAATGGTGTACGTAATGTGGCAGATCAGACCAAAAAATGAAGTTGTCGACGTATCATCCTTATATGGTAAGTTGCTCTGTTTTCTTAAACATTCCTATTTTTCATTTTACCCTTGATTTATACTAAAATCCGCCAAATTTTGACTTTGTTATCATGTACAATTTTGACTTGTAGCGGGTGCACCCACATGGTTTAGTATTAAGCTTCATCATGGTGGGAAGTTTACTAAGTTACCTGATATAAAGTATATTGGACGTGAAGTGCGTTATGTTGATTATGTGGACATAGATGAGTTTTCTGTACATGAACTTGATGCCATAATGCTTGACCTAGGTTACCCAGACCTACGGATGATTGAATTGACTGATGAATCCCCAGTGATATACTACCATTTCAGGATACCCAATGGTGACTTTTAATTTGGTCTCAGAGCTTTAGGGAATGATCAGGATGTTATCAATCTTTCTAAATTTATTCAAAATAACAAGTTGATTGAGGTGTACACAGAACATGGGAAGACAAATCTACTCACTTACTTTATGTCTCCAAATGCAAAGGGTAAAGTTGTCATTGAGGAATTACCAGAAAATGATGATTAAGGGGCTGAATATGAGGCTGAAGTTCATGTAGAATCTCCATTAAGAAATATGAACCATGTCAATGATGAGCCAATTGCTGAGTACATGTCTTTGATTCTTTTTGGGAGTAAAAGTGATGCATTTTCACCAGAGTATAGAAGGGGTAGAGTTGGGAATTCAAAAAGAGGGGAAGGTTCTTGTAGCAAGAGGCTCATTTTAGAGGATATTGATGATTTAAAAGAGAAGGAAACACTAATGAGGGTGTTAAGGAGGTTCATGAGGCTGCAACTGTTGTTAATGTAGGGGATGAGATGATTGGGGTTCATGATAATGACCATATTGATGGATGCTACAACACCCCACCTATTAATGATGATGAACAATATAATGAGCTTTTTGATAACCTTATGGAAAATTTAATTGGAAGTGATGAGGATGTTGAAGAGTATGAAGGGGATGATGAATCTGAAGAGAGTGATGAAGAGTATGAAAAGGATGAAGGTGATGATCATGATGGGAAACAATTAGAAAATGAAGATAAAGTGGATGACATAATGGATGAGGAGAACAATATAGAAGATGTTGATGTGGACATGGCAGACTTCTTTCTAAATGTTGAAAGTGATGTTGAAGGAGCATGTATTAATGATGGTCATGAACCTGAAGATATGGAAGTGATCAACAATGAGGAGTTCGAATCATTGGATGAAGGATCAGACCAAGACAGAGAAAGAAGAGCTCTTATAAAAAATTTGGGAAACGAAAAAAGGTGCAGCCTTGGGTCAGTACATATACAATCATTCTCAGTGGGACAAAAGTTTAAAAGTAAAAAAGAATTAAAGGAGTTAATTGATGTGCATGCACTAGAAACAAGAAGGAATCTATTCTTTAAAAAAAATGACAATCAAAGGCTTAGGGCACAGTGCAGAGGTGTTGTACCTGTCATCAATAAAGGTCAAGTGGGGACTCAACCTACCACTTCAAAAAGCAAGGGCAAAGAAGTAAAGACACAAAAAGAAACATGTGGTTGGTATATACATGCATCTAGGTCAAACCCCAAATATGACTGGTTTATAAGGACCTTAAACCAAACTCATACATGCTTACAAACAAGAAAACTCAGAGCTTGTACTGCTTCTTTAATCTTCAAGAAAATCATAGATCAAGTTGAGGCAGATCCGAAGATTCCTTTGAGAGCCATACAAGATCACTTTCAAAAGACCTACCAGGTGGGCATTTCGACGGATAAGGTGTTTAGGGCAAAAGATATGGCAAGAAAGCATGTAACTGGGGACTACACAAAACAGTTTGAATTGTTGAGGGACTATGCTCTTGAACTTCAAGCTACAAACCCAGACACAACAGTCAAAATAGATGTGTGTCCTAATGGCAACCCTGCATCCCCAACAAGGCAGTTTAGAAGGATTTATGTATGCTTGGGTCCACTGAAAAAAGGTTTCAAGGCATGTCTTAGAGACTTAGTAGGTTTGGATGGTGCCTTCATGAAAGGCCCATTCCCTGGTCAGGTTCTTACATCAGTTGGTCTAGATTCCAACAATGGAATTTATCCATTGGCCTATGCAATTGTTGAGTCTGAAAACACAGCTAGCTGGAAGTGGTTTTTAGAATACCTTGGGGATGACTTGGAGCTTGGGAGCAACTCAAACTATACTTTCATAAGTTCCAGGTTAAGCAAAAGGCAGAAGGCAAGTCAAGGTGATGGAGTCAATGAGATGCAAGGAGAACATTCCCAAGGGCCAACAAATGATGAAGTGCAGAAGCTATCAAGGAAACATATCAGTGTTACTTGTAGCAAATGCAAGAATAAGGGAAACAACTCTAGGGCCTGTAAAGGGCAAGGTGGGAATCAATCCAAGAAGTGATTTTGGTTGTTTGTTGTGGTGCAATGACTATTTACTTGCTTGTTGTTAAAAACTGTTTGTTTTTGAAAACTTTAGTTATGGTTTGATGATGTGGTTATGTATGGTGCACAGACACTTGTATGCTTAACTTGGTAATGGTTTTTGGTTCCACTCATGTGGTTAATGGAATGTGCATTTTGTTCAATTTATGACACGTATTTTGGTAATGTACTTTTATTACATTTTGGTTCTATTTATGTGCTTATATTTGACAATTGATACACATTTTGAACACATTTTCACACTTGAATATCATTTATATCATTAACAACATTGGAATTCATTACAAACATAATGAAGTCAACTTACAACAAAATTATACCATTTTTACCCTGCATCACTTGATCAACAAAAACCCCCACATTTGTCTAACCCTATTCCTTACATAGACCAAATACTAAAGATAACAATCACAAACATAAACCAGCTTGCACATAAATACATCTTCAGCTTGAAACCTTCATCCTTCAATGTATCACACCTTGCCTCCAACATGTTGTTCCTGCTCAAAAGTCCATTGCAATGTTCCTGTAACATGTTGATACTTCTTACCAGCCCATTACATCTTTCCTCCAACGTATTTATGTTTCTTAGAAGACCAGGTATGATGGTTTTACTCCTAGCACACATAGGCGGGTCAACCCACCCGATAAACCCACAAACAAAATCCTTAGTAGGGCAAGCATAAAATCTCCTTCCGGTATTCAGTGGTATCCAAGACGTTTTCACCAAAGCGAGCTTTCCACAAAAACAAACCACCATTGCTCGATTGCAAGTCAGGAAGGAGAAATGGAAGAAAATAGCCGTTGGGGAAGAACAGTTAAGAACGTTGGGGAAGAAGATTCGTTGGGGAAGAATCTGGGAAAAGAAAACGATATATAAAGGATGTTTTATTTTTCCATATGCAAAAATGGTCCCTATAAGTAAAAAGAAAGAAATACCCTCACGTGCAAGGCACATGAGGGGGTTAACAGATTCTTTTTAACGGGTGTTAAGTACAGAGACCATTCTCACAAACAAACCAGTCCAAAAGGACCACAAAACCAAAAAACTCATGGTTTGGACCAAAACCCCAAAAAATTGCATACCACAGGGACCATTTTTGCAATTAAGTCTTAATGTTATTTATAGTTGTTATGATTAATTAGTGTAACGACCATAAAACTCGAACCAATTTAAAACATTTTATTTCATTTCAAAACCATTAAGTTCATACATATTGTTTTCAAAATAGTTTAAACATCAGAGTATCCCCAGAACCATATCACATAAATCATAAAACATGAGGAGCGGTACGATCACGCCTTCGCCTTGCCACGATCTCCTGAAATAC